TAGAGAGATATAAGATGCTCGGTCCAAACAGAAGTCACAATACATCACTAAACCACCCTGACAAAGAGAAACATCCCTGACCGAAACGATGCCCCGAGTCTCTAAAAACGATCACCGGGTATGCCACTAGCAAACAAGATGACACCTTCATGAAGGGGAACGGCGCTGACGTTATCATCGTCCGACCCAAAGAACCGAACCTGGGGTTTCCCCCGATGCTCGAAGAGGGGCACGGACATAGGTCGTCACAACGCCATCATAAAGGGGAACGCAATTAACGCCATCGCCATCCGATCTGAAGAACCGGGCCTGGGTTTTTCCCCAGTGCTTGAATAGGGGCGCAAAGAAAGGTCATGCAGCGCCTTAATGAAGGGCAACGATGCTAACGCCGCTGCATCCGATCCGAAGAACCGGGCTTGGGATTTCCCCCAGTGCTCGAATAGGGGCACAGAGAAAGGTCATGCAGCTCCTTAATAAGGTGAACGACATTGATGTCGTCGTCATCTGATCCAAAGAACTGGACCTAGGGTTTTCTCTGGTACTCAAAGATGGGCACGGAGAAAGGTCGTGGCAACACCTCCGAGAAGGGGACGCACCCTCACGTATCACCTCTGCCAGCATCAACAAGCTGACCAGGGATTTCGCCATGGCCTATGTTCGAACAATCCCAAATTTATTGGGACATGATCTGAAGACGGGGAACATGTCGCTAGCATGCAGCCAGCCAAACAAATCTAGGAGATCGAGTTTCATGACTTCCTAGAAGTTCTGATAGAGCTCGGCGGAAAAACCATCTGGACCCGGGGTTTTGTTGTGCTCCATTAGAAAAACTGCCTTTCTAATTCCCTCCTCGGAATTGAAGCTGTTAGAAGGCTATTTTCCTCATCAGAGACCTAGGGGATGTCATATGTTCGGGACCCATCCATCGAGAAGTTTCCTTCTTCTAGGGCTCCAAACAAATGTTTATAATAATTGGTGATGTAAGATTTAAGTTGCTAATGCCCCTCGATCGTGCCTTCCTCCTGTTGTAGTGAATGAATAAGTATCTTTCGGTGTCTACCATTGACGACACCATGAAAATAACTAGTATTCGAATCACCTTTCGGATAAATTGAGAGTTAAAATGTTGGTATCATTTGAGCTCCTCTTCACGCAGCATTTGAGCTATATGTGCACTCTATTGATTCTTGATCTCAATTTCATGCTCAGATAGCGGTCTGACCTCTGTCAAAGTTTATAATTCATCAATAATAAATGAAAGACGAAACATTTTCTTTTTAAGGATACCCACGGTATTTTTTTGAACATCAGTACAGACACAAGCGCTCATATACACGCGCATATACTCACCCTATGAACACACACACGCACACCCTACCCCTATTAGCATCTTCGAAAGACTGAGCCGGCATATCATCTTAAAATTTACGAAGTAACTGTAGACGCCTCGTCGTTGATGGAACGTCTTCACCCACTGAATGCACATCGCCGGAAATCCTGAAATAAATGCGAGCACCAAGATTTGAACCCTGGTGGGCTGGGGATACCACAGTCCCTCTAACCATCCAACCACATGTTGGTTCACGGATACCCACAGTATGCCTAGTCCATCCACCAAAAAACTTTTCGTATAGCACGTATTTTGTTGTTCTGTTTGTGTATTGGGGTAATACCGGGCAACCAGCTTCTCCCAGACCCCCTTGACCATATCTAATCCCCCAACCAAGTTGCGAACTTGAATTGAAGTTGATGCGTTTCTGGTGCCACAGGCCTACACGGCAAAGCTTTCATTCATGCGTGGCTAAACGTACAAACGTGGCACAGAGATGAAAAGCACAATAATGTCTGCGGGCCATTTCATGTCGATGATAGAATCGCCTTCAAGGCAGAACCTAGCTTGACGCTTCACCGAGGTTCTACGAGGCAGGACGGAGCCCTCGTCTCATCGTCCACGAATAATTCACCACAAGAAAATAACCCGTGGCCTGCGGGAGGTATCCGCCGCAGTTTGCTCCAGGGCCGCCGGTTCCGGTAAATCCCTTCCTCGACCAGGCCAGGCCACCACCAGGCCCACCACTACCGCCGCAGCAGGGCACGCAGGACACGAGCAGTCCCTGCTCCTCCGTGCTCCACCACTGCCGCGAAATCCTTCCAATCCAGGGCGCACCTCACCGACGGCCTCTCGCACGCCCAGCGCGACCGCGTAGCAGAGCAGAGCAGATCGATCGCAACAACGGCGCATCCGGAATTTCACCCTGCACCCGATCGGCAGGCAGCGGGAAAACGGGGGTGAAAAGGCGAGGCGAGCAGCACGACGGGACGGGTAGGGCGACACCCGCGAGTGTGTGCTCTGACGTGACCACGGGGCTCAATGATGGAGCCCGGCGCCGCAACGAGGGCGTCACGAGGCCATGACCCCGCCACGTACGCGGCCGGGCTGCGGAGGAGCTGAGGCCATCTCCACCGCGCGACCCCAAAACGTCCGGGTCTATCCGTTTGGATTTAAATGGACAAATAAAGCGGCCCAACGCGTAACCCCATTTGTAAAAGGACGTCCGCTCCTAGTCCGCTTTGCCCCATCCTGAGCCCAAATTTGATGTGGCTTTGCAGTCGAGCGGACATCGAGCGGACGCTTTCTCGTCCGCCCCGTCCGCGTCTGGACCCACTTGTCACTCACTCATCACTCCCACCGGTCTCTCCCTCCCTTTTTTTTTTCTCTCTCTCTCTCCTCGTCACAGCAGCTACAGCAGCGGCGGGCTCCTTGGCAAAACGCGGCAGGGCCGGTGCTGCTGGGGGCGCGGCGGCGCGG